CTAGCTAGCTAGCTAGCTAGCTAGCTCCCTCGCCCTGTCCCCCGAGCCCTCTAGACTCAAGGCAGTGAACAAAACCCTAAACCCTAAGACCCTAAACCCTAGCCCTTTCTTCGGAAACCCCTAAAGACCCTTCAGGGTCCAAACTGGGGGGTCTTGGGGCTCCCTTCCACTTCTGGGGGCCCCCCAAGCCGTAGGGGCCCCTCGGGGGGCCCCCCGAGCTCCGGGGGCCTCTCTGGGGGCCCCTCGAGGTCTGCGGGTTCCTCCAGGGTGGGCGGCAGAGTCAGCTGGGGGCCCCCAGGGGGCCCTAGAGAGCCCCCGGGGGCCCCCTGGGGGCCCCCCCGGGGGCCCCCCTGAGGGCCCCCCTGGGGGCCCCCCTGGGGGCCCCCCGCGCGGGCCCCCCCCAAAAGAGGGTCTCTGCTGCGCCTGAGGAGGGGCAGCGGGGCGGGGGGCTGGAAGGGCAGCAGCGTGCTGCTGCCGGCGCCCCTGCCGCTGCTGCTGCTGCTGCTGCTGCTGCTGCAGGGGCCCTGCTGCTGCAGCAGCCCCACCTGGCAGTTCAGCAAAATGTACTTGTAGTTGACCCAGGGGTGCCGCTGCTTGAACTGCTGCAGGGCCTCCTGTCCTGCTGCAGCAAGCAGCAGCTGGGGGCCCCCCGGGTGGAAGTCAAGATAAGGAGACAGGTCATAAACCACGCCCCCCAGGGCCATCCAGCAGTCTCCGCGTCTCCGGTGCTTCGCCAGCTGCGCGCAATTGCAGCAATTTCATTCTTTTTCCGCAAATCAATCCACCTTTTTATTCCCCCTTTTAGGGTTTGCTTTTCTCGAGAAAAAACGCGGCAAAACGCGGAAAAAATGGCGCAAAACCACCACATATTCGCGCTGCTAGCGACGGTTTAGGGTTTAGGGTTTAGGGTTTAGGGTTTAGGGTTTAGGGTTTCGCGCTGCAGCGAACCTCCTCCACTGTAATCGGACGCAGCGGATCTTCCCGCGGCTTGTTCGCAGCCATCAACTCCCGAAAACGACTCTGGTTAGAGACTGCAGCAGCAGCAGCAGCAGCAGCAATTGCAGCAGCCGCAGCAGTTGCAGCAGCAGCAGCAGGTGCAGCAGCAGCAGCAGTTGCAGCAGCAGTAGCAAGAGCGGGATTACCAGCAGCGCCAGCACCGTGCTTGCAGCAACAGCAGCAACAGCAGCAACAGCAACAGTGGCAGTAGCAGCAACAGCAGCAACAGCAGCAACAGCAGGAAACACAACAGCAGCAATAGCAGCAATGGCAGCAACAATTGCAGCAGCAGCAGCAGCAGCAGCAGCAAAGTGCATGAAGAAAGAGGAACAAAGAAAAGATGGCGAGAGGCAACAAGACTTAGCAGGAGCAATAGACGCAGCAGCAACACCAACAGCAGCAGCAGCAGCAGCAGCAGCAGCAGCCTTACCTCCCATGCGCCCTGCAGTGCTGATGCGTCCCCCCAAAGGGTTTAGGCTTCCGCTGTCCCCTGCTTGCTGCAGCTGCAGCTGCTGCTGCTGCTGCTGCATTTTTGCTGCATGCGACTGCAGCAAACCCTGAATGGGCATGTGCGGCCTCAAAGGGGTAAAGGCTATTTCTGGCCTGCTGCTGCTGCTGCTGCTGCTGCTGCTGCTGCTGTCGTCGTCGGAGTCGGGGGGCCTGAGAATACGAATAGAGCCCGACTCCGCTATTGTCCCTATGCGCAGAGGCGCAGCAGGCGGTGCAGCAAGTGCTGCTGTTGCTGCTGCTGCTGCTGCTCTTGCTGCTGCTGCTGCGGCTTCTGGCGCTGCGTCTGCAGCTTCTGCCGCTGCTGCTGCATTTGGCGCTGCTGCTAATGCTGCAGACGATGCTGGTGCGGTCCTCGTTTTCGCTGCTGCTGCTGTCGGCGCTGCTGCTGCAGCAGCAGCAGCAGCTGCTGCTGCTGCTTGTGCTGCAGCAGCAGCATCGCCATCAGCATCCATTGTGCCTAGTGAGAGCCACAGCTTTTCAAATATGAAATGCTTTCAGCAGCAGGCGGCGCAGCAGGAGCCCGGGTGTATGTACAGCTCCGGACACAGCTCAACGCCGCTGCTGCTGCTGCTGCTGCTCTCGCTGCTGCTGCTGCTTTTGCTGCTGCTGCGTTTTCTCCTGCTGCCTTTGAGTCTAAAGGCGCTGATTAACTGCTTTGCGGCGAAGCTGGGGCCATACTGCGGTGTACGTACAGCTGAGAACAGCGCATGCACTGCATGCGCTCCGGCTTTGGGGCTTTTTGGCCTCAGGCAGCCTCGGGGCCTTTTGTCTTTTCCCCTGCAGACTTTTCTTTTAATTTTTAATTTGTTGCATTTAAATTTGTTTATTAGCTTTCTAAACAAGCCCGTGGCGACCCGCTGGCAGCTGCTGAGGCTGTTGAGGGGTCCTCCGCTGCTGCTGCTGCAGCTGCTGCTGCAGCTGCTGCAACAGCAGCACATTTCGCCGCAGCAGCTGCAGCATCTTGCGATTTCAGTCTCCTTTTCGTTTCTCTACTACACGAACGGAAAAAGCCTGGGGAAAGTCTTCAGAAGCCCGTAGAGCTGCTGCTGCTGCCGCTGCTGCTGCTGCTGCTGCTGCTGCTGCTGCTGCTGCTGGGGCAGCTGCAGCGCTCCCTGCAGCAACGGGAACCGATCCCAGGGAGTCGATCTCAGGCAGCCCCAGCCACACTCCCAACACCTCCCGGCGGGCGCTGCTTTTGCTGCAGCACGTCTGTTGCTGCTGCTGCTGCTGCT